TTTATTAATCATGTTCTTTGTTTCACTTTGGTGTTTATACAGTGCTTCTATGGTTTCCTTTATTTCTTCTTTTGCTTTTTTCAAATTCTCTATTTTTGTTGTCTTGGAATTTCTTGAGTGTCTCCTGTACATTTTGGTTGACCATATCCAGTATCATCTCTATAAAATTCTCGTTGAGTACCTGTAGTATTTCTTCTTTTAGATTATTCTTGTGGCCTTCATTGGGTTCTTTGGCATAGTTTATCTTCATTTTGTTGGAGTCTGGGTCTGAGTATCTGTTTTCTTCATTTCCCTCTGGTTCCTGTACTAATTTTTTGCTGTGGGGAAACTAGTTTCCCTGTTTTTTCTGTCTTCCCATCATTGCCCTTGGTGTTGTTATTGTCCCTGTTCTGTGTGTAATTAAGTATTTTCTAGCTTGTAATAATAGCACTGGTGATATTTAGAATGGAAGGGTGGGTGGAGATGGAAAGCAAAGAAGTTAAAGGAAAAGGGAAGAACAAATAAACAAGTAGAAAAAACAAAAAGAAACAAACAAAAAAAGTTTCAAAGATATAAACAGGGAGAGACAGTATACTAATCAACTGTAGGCTGAAAAGGCATTAGAGAGACAGAGAGAGGATTGAAAATAAATAAATAAATAAATAATTTTGAAAAATTTTAAAAAATGAAAAAAAAAAATCTCCAAGTTCAAATGCAATAAAGTTTCAGTCTTAATAATTTTGGTGTTCGTCCCTCAGCCTCCAATCCTGGAGATGGTGTCTCAGAAGTAGTTCTGTGGTTGTCTCATGAAAGAGGGAAAAGACTGGAAAAATAAAAATGAAACAAAACCACACAAAACAAAATAAAACCCCACAGTGTCCCAAAGTTCAAATGCAATACAGTTTCGGTAAGTTTTTCAGCATGCGGGTTTAGTTCAGTTGTTGTCTCATCAAAGGTAGGGAGAGAGAAAAGAAAAGAAAAAAAAGAGTCTGGAGACAGTTCTGTGAATGGTATCTGCGGCTGTGGCTTGCCTGCCCGCTGCTGTCAGCCTGCTGTTGCTGGAGGTGTTATTTATGCAGATCTCAGGGGTGAGCTTAGCACTCACCTGGCCCCACAGGCTTTGTTTACTCAGAGTTCTCCTGTGCTCCAGCCGCTGCTACAAGCTTTCCCCTTTCCAAGCACACTGGGGGAGGTGACACTGCACCCACTTTCTCAGGCCTGCGTGTTTATTTACAGTTCACATGGGAAGTGGGCCTTCTCCCCTCTCCTGTGGAGTTTTCCTCCCAGCACCGCTTTTACAAGCTTTCCCGCTTCTGATTCCTGGGCATGTGCCGCCTTTCCTGCCTTCTCCGCCCGGCTTGTTTATTTACAGTTCCGTTAGGAATTCCCCTATCCCACTGTTTGGCCCTCAGGGCGCCCCACCCTCTTTGCTACGTGTCTTTTTTGTTGTTACTGCTTATTACTCAGTTTCTCTTTTTTTTCCCTGGGTGGGGGTCGGTCTGTCCAGGAGGCTATGCTGATCTAGCCAAGGGTTGTCTGTGGATGTACCGTGTACCGCTTACCTCACCTTGTGGTCCGCGTCTTCCCAAGCCATCTGGGCACCAGCGTCTGGTGGCCTGGGCCCCTCCTGGTTTCTCTGTTTAATGTGAAGTGGAGATGCTCTGTGCAGGCTGGAGGTGTGGAGGGGTCAAAGTTTTGCCTCTTCTCGGTGGTGTTTCCTATAAGGTGTATCTCCAGCATCTCTCCAAGATTTTACTTTAGGAGGCACGCTTTCTGCTTCCTCCCTCTAGCCGCCATCTTGGAATCTCCATTTTTAATATTTTAAATATATTCTTTGTATCTCAACCAGTTCATCTTTCAAATTTTCTGAGTCCCAAATTACAAAATAGTTTACAGTTTAAGTTTTATCCCTTTCCTATTACAGTTAGAAATCTGAAAATACCATCCAAACCAGTGGGTACATATCTAGAAATACTGAAAACCACAGTACTGTTTGTTTATGCATGGACTTAACCACATTTCAAGAATGATTTGTCTGCATCTATTTTTCTTTGTTTCTCCCTGAAGAGGGAGGGTCTTAATATGGGGAAAATTAAATTTATCTATCTATCTATCTTAGATAGATGCCTATCTGTTTCTAAAAAAGAAATTTTGAATCAGGGTTTTGCTCCGTAGCACAGGCTTGCCTCAAAGTCGTGATCTCCCTGCCTCTGTTGCCTAAGTGCTGGGATTACAGTGCATGGTGTGCAAAGCCTGGCTCAATTTGATTTATAGTATAGTGACTACCATCTGTGTGCTTTTCAAATGTCTGTGAATCAAACAGAAGATTGACAGTGCAGGTGCAATCAAGGATGGCGCTAAGAGTTGGTTCAGTCATGTTCACTTGGTTTTACAGCATTGGGATTACTAAATATTATTCCCTTGCAATTATGGATCCTACTTAAAAATAAATGAAGACCTAGTTGTATCTGTTTGTGTGACTTTAAAACAGATGAAACCACCCCTCTCCACAGCCTAAAAGCCTTGTGTGGAAGTACTACCGCTGATCTGGAAGGGGGGTGGTGAAAAGAAGGCCAAGGGAGGAAGATTCTGAGTTCAAGGCTAGACTGGGCTACACAATGAAACCCTCTCTCCAAAAAGAAAATTTCAAAAGTTGCTGTTGGCTGAGAATAGTTTCAGCTGTTGTCACAGGAAGTTTATCAATCAAACCTACTGTTCCTGGAATCCAGGACGAATGCAGGAGACAGTGACTCAGAGAAAAGGACATGTCAGAAAGGCAAGATGGAGCAAGTCAGTCCTTCAGATTTAGGGCAGTGACTTTACACTTGAGGGTGTCGTCTTGGTGGTCTGGAACAGGATGTTGTAAAAGGTGGCTGTTGACAATTTGTTGGTGATGATTCCTTGCAAAGACTGAAGATGTCTTAGTCTTGCCTTGACAGCTTTTGTTGACCATTCCTTAAGTGATTAACATGTCTGCATGCAGACTTTAACAGGAAATAGACTCAAAATTTAAGGTAGCAAAGGGAGACAGACACAAAATGAAGGCAGAGACCCCCAAACTTTTATTCTGGTTTTAGTTACCCATCAGGCATCTACAGGCCCAAGTGAAGCGGTAGTGCTTTTAGCAAAAGTAGCCTCTAAGTCCTTGTTATATAAAGACCACACAATAAATAATGAGTAGGGAAAAAAAAAGGCAGAGCTGAGGAATGTGTCAGTGTGTCTGAATCCTGGGCTCTTTCCTCTACTCTAAGTCAGTCATTTTAAATATTATCAGGGATCAAGTTATAAGTAAGTAGTGTCCAGAGACTGCCCTCATACACACCAACCAAAAGTTTACATATAAGTAAGAGATAAAAGTTTTCATGTTTTGCTAAAATATTCAAAATATTTTGCGTGTGGTAAACACGGTTTTAATGGGTAGAAAAAAATGCATTTTGTAGGGCACACACATCACTTTTGTAAAAAACAATACAGCTATAGAAAAGCTACCAGGTAATGGTTCTAAAATCCATGGAGGGGGAAGAGGGTGGAGCAGATCTTTAGCAAAGATCTGCAAATTTGTTGTAAGAGACAAACATACAAACAGCAATGGGTATACTGACAGGGCTACAGGTGAGTATCATCCACGGCTGTGGTTGTAATTCCGTTGGATAGTTGCTGGACTTTGAATTTGTTGTTTTATAACTACGACTTCCTGACCAGTGACCATTCTATGGCTTTATTCTTGGCTGTCTCTGATAATTTTTTAAACCTTTGTCATCTGTTTTCCTTGTGGTACTGGTCTTTTTGAGTTCCTGTTCTTTACTTTGTTTCAAGTGAAACATATTTAGTTAATTTACTGAATATAAAATGTTTATTGAGACAGTAGCGGTGTGGTTCTCACAGGAAGGACATGAGTGCTGCTGAATTTCAGGAGCTACTGGACCTTTTTTTTTTTTTCCGGTACTGGGGACCGAACTCAGGGCCTTGCACTTGCCAGGCAAGTGCTCTTCCACTGAGCTAAATCCCCAGCCTGGAACTGTTTTTTGAGTGCTGTTAGGGATCTCTCCATCTCCTGCTCTGATTCTCTCTTGGCTTGAGGCAACTTTGTCCATATGGTGGGAAATACCACCAGAGCTCCACATTTCACAGCAGCAGCTACCAGACAGCCTGACCTTACTTCCTCTGATTCAAGCCTGGAAAAATCCCAGGAAAGAATTCTTATTAGCCCAGCAGTTGTATCGTCTGCCCATTGAGGTCTGCCATGACACAAGGTTCATAAACCCTTGAGCACAACCTGGAACTGGAACTAGTTTTGGCTGACCAATGTAGGGTTATAGAATTATGTCTGCTAGCTGACTCTTAGGTTAGAATGGCTGACCTGATGAAGCCCTCTATCTCTTTTTGTCATAGACTCACTGAGTTTCCTTCCCAGCCGAAGGGGGTATCTCCAGTTTACTTTGCACTTTTGCAGATAAAAGATAAGTGGCCAGTCCTGAACTCTGAGTCTGAGGAAGTTCAAGTCACCTGTTTAACCACTTGCCCTAGCCTGTGTGACTGCAGTTGACCCGTCTGGATGTGTCTTTTTCTGTTGAGAAACCTTACTGTGTATGACAGAATAATACTTCATGTAGAGTGATAGAAAATAACAATACCAGACAAATGTCACTTCTCTTCAAAAGCATGGGACCATTATCAAAGAAAAGTTCCCAAAGAATAAATAATAACTTTATATCTGTATCACAAGTTTTAAAGAGATAAAGTGAGAGGTCACTGTCACCTTTCACCTTAGAACTTGTTTTTCAATGTTATTTTCTTCAGAATATTAAGAGCAAACAACAGCCTGGTTCTTTCATACTATGAAGATAATGGATTTTAAAATCAGATCTTTTTTTTCTTTTTGAGTTGTAAGGCTTTCTAATTTGTAAGATGACGGTTATTTTGTGTAAAAATGTCTGTGGCATGATTAGATTTTCATAAACGCAGAGATGACTTTATAGCTGGCTAACTTGCTATCTGCAAGACACTGTTGCATTCAAAAGATGAGGAAGCTGGCTTTTGCCCAAGCCCTGCAGGAAGTAATTGTGCGTCATGACTGTCCTAGCAGAGGTGTGGGACAGCACAGAAGAACTGTACTGCTGAATGTGCAGAACTGAACTACCCTGATTCCACTATACATGTGTCACAGGTTCAAAGGAGCCAGGTACACACTCCGCTTGGTGAGTTCGTGCCCTGTGGTGGGTGAGGGAGAACAAGGATGTGCTGTTCCTGCAGGCTTGCTGGGTTCCCGAGGGCCTCTCAGAGTGTGAGTGTTCTTAGGTGTTAAAAGTACCTGTTTCCCACACAACAAGGCTTGTAAAGTGTAAGGCAGCAATGGTGCTTCAGGCCATCAGTCTCAATCACGGAGGGAAAGTCCTTCTTTTGGTTCTGTGTGTTTGTCTATAGGATTTTCAAGATTAACATTGATTATAGGGGATTTTTGTTACAGATGTTGTGTTTACACCTTAGCCCTCACATAAGGTGAAATATCTGAAATAGAGATAATGAAATAAGGTGCATACATTCTGTTTCTACAGAGCAGGAAGCATTTAATCCTAACAGTGTGTTTGGTTTGGGGGAAAGTATCAGGGTGATTGTGGCATTTGAATAGAGCTTTGAGGGAAAAGTAGGATTTTAGTAGGTGAGAATGGGTAGTGGAAGGCATAAATTTACAAATGAGCAAACCATGTAAGATAGTGGTGTTCAGGAAGTAGTCAAGGTTTCAAGTATGTGAGCTCTGTCGTGCACTAGTAAGAGGGACGCTGTAAAGGAGGTCTGGATCAGAGCGTTGGGAAGGGACCCTTGAGAGCTATGATCAGAGTCTTGGCTTTCTTTTGTTTGTTTGAGATAGGGTCGTGCTATGTAGCCCCAGCTGGCCTTGAATTTCCAGTCCTCTTTCCTTAGCCTCCTGAGTGCTGGGTTTACAGGTGTGAGCCGCCACACCCACCTGGAGTTTGGGTTTTATTCTGTATTGGGAACCATAAAAATTAGCAGATTGATCACCCCGAGGATGATCAGCATGGAATCCTGAAGTTTCAGCTAGGCCCTTCTACTGTTCCCATCTCTCCAGCTGGATTATTTTCTAGGAAGCAGCTGAGAGGAGATGAATCCCTTATAGGGCATAACCTTGAGTGGTGATCATATTGCCTTACTAAAGTGCATGCAGACCAGGAGGATATGGGAGAATGACCATCAGGCCATTGTGTGGTCACTGACTATATGTGATAATGTTATAAACCCACGATTCAGTGTTAAAATTGTTCATTAAATCTTCTCTTTTAAAGAAATTTAGAGCATAAACATATTTATAGAGTCTTATATTTACTCACATACTTATCCTGCAAAACATCTAAAATTTTATTTTCATTATTACCCTGTACCATAACATAAAATTTACCATTTTAACCATTTTTAAGTGTTCAGTTGTGTAGCATTAAGTATATTCACATTGTTTTGTAACAGTCACCAACCTTCCATCCACGGAAATTTTCATGTTCACAAACTGAAACTCTGTATATATTAAACACTTAACTCTGCATTCCCCTTACCCAGCCCCTGACAACCATCATTCTACTTTCTATCTCTATGAATTTGAGTATTTGAGGTCTCTCATGCAAGTAGACCATATAATATTTGTCCTGTTGTGATTGACTTATTTTACTTAGCACAATGTCTTTATGGTTCATATGTGTTATAACATGTCAGAATGTCCTTCCTGTTAAGACTGGATGATATTCCACTGTATGTAGAAAATTCATTTTGTTTGTCCAGTCATCTGTTGGTGGACACCTGGGGTACTGTTATGAAAATGCATGTATAAATATGTTTGAATCCCTGCGTTCAGTTCTTTGGGATATACACCTATAAGTGGAATTATTGAATTATATGGTAGTCCTATGTTTAATTTTTTTGAGGAACTGCCATCCTGTTTTCCAGTGCTTATACAATTTTACATTTTTAACAGCAGTGCACAAGGATTCAGATTTCTCTACATCCTCACCAATGCTTGTTATTTCCTGGGGTTTTTGATAATTGCTGACATAGTAAGTGTGGAGTAGTATTTCACTGTGGCTTTGGTTTGCCTTTCCCTAAAGATTAGTGCTGTGTTAAACATCTTTTCATGTCTCTATCTTCTTGGAAGAAATGTCTATTTAAGTCCTATGATCATTTTAAAATTAGGTAGATTGTTTTTCTCTTGTTTGTCTTTATATATTTTAGATACTAATCTCTTATTAAGCACTGGACTTGAAATGTTTTTACCATTTTGTGGACCAAACATGTATCGTTTCTGTTGCTCTTCATTTTTTCACGTTGATTGGAGTTTCTCTCTGGTGTCATTTCCTTTCAGTCTGAAAGACTTAATTTCTTCTTAGGCATATGTACCAGCCACACATTCTCTCAGTCTTTGTTTATCTGGGAATGAGTTCACTTCACCTTCATTATTAAAGGACAGATTCACTACACATAAAATTCTTGGGTGGCAGTTTTTCTTGTCAGCAATTTAAATTTACCATCTTACTGCCTTCTGACCTCCCTCCCTGTTTGTAATGAAAAATTATTGTCATTTTTGTCATTCTACTTTGAAGGTTTCCTCTGGTTTTGACTTTTAACAGTTTGATTAAAATGATTTCTTTGTGTTTATTCTATGCTGAGGTTCATTGAATTTGGATCTGCAGATTGTTTTTATAAAATTTGAAAATTACCATCTTGGATACATTTTTTTCTGTTCCCCCTTTTTCTGTGCTATTACACATAAGTTAGTGCTTGATGGTGTTTCAGAGGTCTCCCAAGGCACTCCAGTTTTGTTCACTCTTTTCTCTCTCTGTTCCTCAGATTAAATAATTTCTGTTGATCTATCTTTAAGTTCCTTGATTTGTTCTGCTAATTGAAATCTGTTGAGATGTCCAAGTCTGAGTTACTATACTTTTGTACTCCAGAGTTTCCTATTTGGTTCTTTTTCCTAATTTCTCTTTGGTGAGTCTCTCTCTCTCTCTCTCTCTCTTTCTCATATACTGGGGTTTGAACTTGGGACCTCATGCTTGCTAGGAAGGCGAGCTACCACTTGAGCCATCTCACCAGCCCTAAGTCTCTCTATTTATTGAGTCATTGGTTATACTTCAGTTGATTGAGTATGGTTTCCTTTACCTCTCTGAACATGTTTATAACAGTTGCTTTGAAATCTTTACTAAATTGAGCAACAGGGTCCTGTTAGAGACAATTTCTGTTGACTACTTTTCTTCCAGAAGGTCACACTTCATTGTTTCATGCCTGGACATTTCAGGTTACATAGTGTAGTAGTTCTGAATTCTGATTTCCTCTCTCCAGGTTGCTCTCTTATTTTTTCTTTTTGGTAACTTGGCTGTGTTAAATCTGTGTGCTCTGTCTCTGCCATGGTACATGACTGCTAATGTTTGATTGTCTGAGGCTAGCTTCTCAGGATTAGCCTGTGTCTGCCTGACTTGGTGGTCAGTGATTGAGTCTTGTGAGTTCAGAAGCACTGAAATTTCAAGCAATTTCCGAGTATGCTGTGGCTTTTACTGTGTGCCAGGCCATGTTGTGTTTCTTTTGCGTGTCCTGTAGCCTCATGGGTGGCTACTTGTCTCTGTGTATCCACACCACATTTCAGGTGGCCATGAATGCTTCAAAGTTCATCAGGTCCCTATCACTGCCTCACTTTCTGTTAAAACTTCTGGTCTGTTTGCTGCAGTTAGGACCAGCACAACATTTTGCTGTCTGAGCTTTAAGCCTCCTTGGTTGCCTTTCACCCAGGTCACTATAACTGCAGGGCAGGGTTTTTGTGCCCATCTTGTGTTCTGTCAGTCAAGGTAGCCTCCTCTTGCAGCAAAGCAGATACAACTGCCATGCTGACCAAACTGGGATGGGGGATAGCAGCCGTGGGCACAAATGCCATAAATTCCCAATGTTCTGACTCAAAATTTGGTCATTTTTTTCATGAATAAATGCTTCTCAGCTTATTGGATGCATTTGGTTAATTTCCAGAGCCATGATTTTTTAAAAATTTTGCATATTTTTCTCTTTATTTTTAAGGGGAAGACTTACCATGCTCTTTATTCTGTTGTACTGAATCTGTAAAGATGGTTTGTAAGCACAAAAAAAGCTATGTTAGTATGAGATTGAGGTAGACACTGGGTCAGTATTGTGTGTGTGTGTGTGTGTGTGTGTGTGTTTTGAGGATTGATCCCAGGGCCATACATGTGCTAATATACAATTCTACCAAAATGAGCTGCATGCTCACTGACTTACTCTTTTTATATGAACAATTCAGTTTTTTATTAGAAATAGTTTTCAGTTTTATCACAGTATCATTAATGAGGTATATTTCATAAATGTTTCCTAAATTTTTTTAACATCTTCATTCTTAGTTGCAGGGCTATATGTTTTCAGAAAGTCTTAAATTTAAGAGCTAAGTTTGGAAAAGAGCTAGGTACATTTTTAATAAGATAATTAGCAAGAAACCTTTTTATGTTTTTAATCCCTTTTTGTATTTGAGAAGTGAACGTTTCACATTTCAGGCAGTTCTTAGTTACTGCTTTTTTGAGATGTGTATACTTTCAATTTTGGGGGATGGGGTGTGACTGTGGTTTGAACTCAGGGCTTTGCATGTGCAAAGCAGGTGCTCTGCTGCTTGAGCCATACCTCCTCTCCACTTTGCTCAGCTTATTTTGGACATGGATTCCCAAATCCTCCTGACCTCAGCCTCCCATATAGCTGGGATTACAGATGTGAGCCACAGAAACTTGGTTTTCAAAGCTTTTAGTATTTCCAAACTCACCTATCCAGTCTTACCCCCCTATCCCTCTACCAGCAGTTATGATGAAGTTCATTCTAAACAATGCACCCTCTCCAATATTGGTTTCTTTAAATTAAGAAACAACCAAGTTTGCTAATTTATCAGACTTAAAATGTTTAGTAGATTAGTTTGTTGCTATAATTCATCTTGTTAATTATTATTTTTTTTTCTTTTTAACTATGAATTCATTTAACTTGATTTATCATTTATCACCACAAAAATTTTGATTCAGATCTTTTTGTCGTTACTGGGATTTGGCACTACTCAGAGCTTCACAAGTGCAACACAGGTGATCTACTGCTTGAGCCATGCTTCCGGCCTTTTGCACTCTGATTATTTTGGAGATAAGGTCTTGCATTTGCCCAGACTGGCTTAAACCTCCATACTCCTTTTTTAAGCTTCCCATCACTGGGATGACAGGCGCATCCCAGTGAGGTGAGGGGTCGTGAAAACATTTTTTCCCAGGCTGATCTGGAACCAAGATACTCCTGATCTCAGTTACCAACATAAATTGAGATACAGGTACATGCCACCACGTCCAGTTATTGGGTAAGATAGGATCTCGCTAACTTTCTGCCTAGGCCACTCTTGAACTGCATTCCTCACAATCTCAATCTCACATGTAGCTGGGATTACAGGCTTGAGCCACTGCCTCCCAGCTTTGATTCAGATCTTGCACTGGAGAAATAACAGTTAAACAAAAGGAGAAGAAGAAAGAGAAGAAGAAGAAATCTGACCTCCAAACACAGGGCAAATTAAGATAAATATCTGTATATATTATTGACATCTATGAATTTTCCAGGAATATCTAATGATACAGGAAACTACTCACTAAATCTTAAGAGTTTTTTCAAAAAACCATTTTAAAGAGATGGCATGGTTTGAAAATATTTCCATAGAAAATGTGCATGAAAAAGTCTGATGGGTTCCACTTAAAATACAGAAATGTAAGCCTGGAGCCAGTGGCCAGCACCTGTAATCCTAGCTACTCAAGAGGCAGACAGAGATCAGGAGGATCTTGGTTCGAAGCCAGGGCTGGGCAAATAGTTAGCAAGACCCTATCTAGAAAATACCCAACACAAAAAAGGGCTGGAGTGGCTCACGTGGTAAAGTGCTTGCCTATCAAGAATGAGACCCTGAGTTCAAACCCCAGTACTACCAAAAAACAGCCTAGCAAGTGCACGGCCCTTAGTTGCACCCCAGTTCTGCCAAGAGGAAAAAAAAAAAAAAGGAAAGCTAGGTGTGATGGAGTAGACTTGTAGTTCTAGCACTTGAAAAGCTGAGGCAGGATGACCTCAAGTTCATGGCTAGCCTGGGTTAGATAGCATGATCCTGTCTAAATAAATAAAGTTACAAAATTTAAAAAGAAACAAACATGGAAATGGATCTTTCCTTCAGGAAGAAAATTCCATTAGGTTATGTAAATGAGTTTATGCCTTTTGACTTTAAATAATGGATAAACCAGATTGTATTGCATTTTCTTTTCAATATATTCTATATTTTGAGTCTTTGGATAATGATATGTATTGTTCACTCACAAGTTGGTAATATTTAATAGCATCATAATCCTTATTAGACTTCTGAGAGTCACATAGAAATTCTTGATTAAAAGATGTTTCCCTAAGGCTGATAAGTGTAAGATAGGAATTGACTGTTTCCCTGTAATCCTGGCTATATTTAAATTCCAGTGCCTATTCTAGAACAATCTGCTAAAACAATACTTGTTCTGAAAATTTATTAGTAAATTAGAAGTGTAGTGTTTCTGTCCCTCGTGTGTATGTTAGGCACCATTACTCTCCAAAACAGAAATAAATATTCAGAAATATAATTCTACATAATAAATAAAATCATTCAGAAGCCGTAAGTGGCTCTAGCTCTCTTATGTCTGAAGGGCAAAATTGTATTTTGATAAGTGTGGTTATATATTATTCATTATCAGCCAGTATGTATATTTAGTGTACTTTAATGTGATTGAGGGCTTCAGACCAAAATAAATGCCACGAAATGATTGCATTATCTGAACAATGAGAGCATTTGCACAAACTTGGGAAAGACTGTTGGCATTTAAACCAAAGAATCAGATCTTTTTTATTTCTCTTTGACTCTAATATTCACAAACTACAATGTTCATAAATCCTCATTGGACCATTTTAGTGAAGTACAAATATCATTTCTATTCTAGTACTGTTCTCTAGGGCAAATTGATCCCCTTCCTGGTTACTACTTAATGATGTTCTGGAAAACACCACTGAGGAATTCTGATGATTAGTAGAAAATACATACATAGGCTTTAAAAAATTAATAGTTTTGGGACTGGAGATATGGTTTAGTAGTAGAGGACTTGCCTAGCATGCTCAAGGCCCTGAGTTCTATCTCCAGAACTACCAAAAATAAATAAGCAATGCTTTCCAAATATATTTTCAATTGTTCCTCAGGCTCTTTTTGCTGTATCATTTGTCTTACTCTTTGGCATTTGAAAAAAGTATTTGTAAAATACTCAGGGTCACTGGGTTACACACACTTGTCTTTTCTTTACTTCTGCATGTTGTAATCCTTGTGTTCTAATATTAGGACCATTGAGAAGCTCAGGAGACAACTATTCCAGTGTGGAAAGAGGGTAAGGCTCACATGGTGTTTCCTCCATTCTTGGAATCCCAGTATCTACTCATGTCTGTATAGTGGAATTAGGTAGCCTATACTATCCTGGAATCATCCTCTTACACTGTTCCCTGTTGATAGGATTCTTCCTATAAACCTGTTAGTTCATTGGTCTCTTAATTGTGTCATGCTATTTTAAATAAGTTAATTATTAAAAGAAGTGGTTGATGTTTTATGATGCAAATACTGATGGGTGGAGCATGTGATGGAAAGAAAATGTATTGGGGATGGATCCAGTGGTTGAGTATACATATTAACTAATACAAACACTTTGGAAGCCAAATCTAGAGTAAAAATTCACTTACCAAATGTATATGTGTTCTGATGTAGAAGGGTTTTTTTTTTTTGTTGAGAAGCATTTTTGAAACAGATTTGAAAAGATTTTAGCTTCTAAAGCCTTAATAATAGAAAAATCGCACAGGATGAGCAAGTTCTTATTTTTTTGAAGGTAGCTATTACTGCTCATTTATTTATTTCAGCAATCCCCATCCTCAGTGTTCTGAACATGACAGCTTATTTGGGACTTGTCAGTGGTTCTTGATTATTTAGTCACTTAAAGGAGGAGTGGCATATATGTGAAGGAAAATTATCTTTGGAAACATAAAACCATAAAAAGGAATCTGTCAGTGTTATAGTTTTATTCTAAACATCCTTCCTGTTAAATAGCAACAAAATAATAGTTTTATAATAGATCATAGCAGTTTAGCAAAATACTTGAGATATCCAGCATATTTATGAGATGATAGGCTGTTTTATAGTTTTAGATGTTAATAAATAATGACAGATTTTATAGAATTATTTTTGGATTGGTAATTATGTATCTAGGATGATTTAGGAGCCAACCTGAATATGAAGATTTAAAACAGTTTTGTAGGGAATTAGAAGGTGGTTTGTGGGTGGCTGATTTTTTTTTTGGTGATGTCAGGGTTTGAACCCAGGGCCTTGTGCTTGCCAGGTGCTCTACCACTTGAGCACAACTCCAGCCCTTTTGCTTTAGGTATTTTTGATCCTCCTATTTATACTTCCAGGATAGCTGGGATGACAAGGAGTACCACTACACCTGTGGGAGTACCACCATTGAGATAGTGTCTCACCAAGTTCCCCACACCCCTGCTGGCCCCAAACTGCAATCCTCCTGTTCTTTGCCCTAGAGTAGCTAGGGTTACAGGTGTGAGCCACTGTGCCCACCTGTGGGTGGCTGATTCTTAAGCACCATCGATAACCCTGGGGAGAGGCAGGACATCCTACGTTAAATGGAAAGTATGAGTCTGTCATTTCACAAAGGCAGGGTTATATAGCTAAATACCTTGACTAACTCTTTATATTAAAATCATGTTGACATTAACATAGCTGATCCAGGAATTAAATACTCACATTAAGTACTGTTTAATGTGAAAGATGCCAAAATTTCTTTAAGATAGCTAAAGGATACAGTTACACTTCTCTTTGTATAACTGAAATGTAGCCTATAACAGGGTGGAGAATAAGAACTTTCTATGTATTTAACTTTGTGTGTGAATGGTTTTTTGGGCTTTTTTTTTTTTTTTTGAGACAGAATCTTGCTGTGTCTTGCTGTATGACTCAGGCTGGTCTCAAACTTGCAATCTTCCTGCCTCTGCCTTCCAAGTGCTGGGATTCTAGGTATGTGCCACCATGACTAAATATTGTATAAAACTTTGGGAGGCAGTTTTGGGAGAGTTTAATAATTATGTTTAGAGTTTATAAGACAGCCTTATTCTGTAGATTTTTAAGTTAAAGGCTTTTTTTTTTTTTTGACTGTATGCTTGAATCCGGGTCTTATGCATGTACTCTACTACCTCCAGCCCATCCCTGTCTTTAAGTAAACTGTGGGGTTGCTTTCAGTCCTCCCACCATTAGCCTTCTAAGCCTATGAAAGAGAGGGAAGGAGGAAAACCCCTTGGGGTAGGCTAGTTTCTTTGGTAGTCATCAGGGCCAATCACAATATTCTAGGTGTCTCATCTTCTAAAGACATAGTAATTGTGCTCCTCCATCTCCCTGAAGTTAGGAATGACTATGTCACTTGTGTAATAAAATGTGATGGATCACTTCCAGGCAGAAGCTTTAGAGGCTAGTGAGCAGTTTGCCACTGCCTTAGGATCTGGTTTCATTCTAGACCATGGAGGCTCTGTCAGCCCCCTTGGTTGAGGTGCCTGCCTTAAATTGATATTTTTATAAAATGTATTTTTTTTCTTTTGTAGGAGAGCATTTCCACTTCAATAAGCTAAGTTTAAACTATATTGAGTCAGAACTCTATTGTCTTAACACACCTGTGCTTTTATAATTGCTTGTTTTAAGCTGATTATTATTTAAATAAGTATGCTAAATTCCTATTTAGAACATGGAAATTGAACTTTGGTATATTGTATAGAAATCATTCTTTTTCTATATTGAAAGTCTAAACCACACGGTCTCTCTATGTAGGCCATATTTGTCTTTCATTCTTTCAGTAAATATTTATGGCAGGCCTACTGTGTCAGAGCTGAGCACCCAGTGGCTCATGGAGTTCTTTATTCTGTGTTGTCCACACTTCCAGTATGCGTTGTGCATACTTGTCTAACGTAGAGTTGTTTTCATCTTACTCAATTTCAAGAATCCACAGCAAAGCAAAGACAGGTCTTGGTAAAAAACTGGTGGTTGGCACAACCCTTTGTCTATGTATATACACTGCATGAAAAGATTAAAACCAAGTCCCACAAGATGCAGAGTCAGTGTATTTCTTATTGTCCTGTCCTACAATCTGGCAGTTGTTTTGGCTACACCAATGTGGGAATTACTGCAATGTGGAAATTACTCTATCTGCAATGTGGGAACCTACTTAAATTCTTTAGACTATTCTTGACAAGCAGTATAGTATCCAAATGCATATACACACAATATAACAGCAAAACTTTAAAACAGGGTCTAGTTAAAGAATAAGGCTCTATCTCTCACCACTGTTTAATTGCCAAACAATAAAGTACATAGTTCCAAGCTAAATGTCAGATAGTCTAAAAGGTACAGGGCAAATACATTTGAGAAAGAACACCAGGCACTATAGATTTTCTGGAGGCTTTGGTATGACTGGCTATCTAGACATAGAGCCTGCCATTCATGTATATGTTGCACAAGCATTTACTGTGACAGAAGTCACTCCTTTTTACTCATCCTTTCTGACCCATTTCTTGAACATTTCATTTGAGAGTCTGTAATATAGGTACACTGTTGTGAAATATGAAAAAGAAGCATCATCTCTATTCTCAATGACCTCCTAAGCTTGTTTGTTCGTTAGTCAGTCTTTTATTCAAATGAGCATTGAGTCAAGCAAGGTGCCACATGAGTGCTGGGGAAATAGAAGAATACACAGTCAGTCCCTGAAGGGCTAGAAGTCCCAGCTTGAAGAGGCAACCAGATTGTAACATGTTTGGAAGAGTATAGTACGTTAAGTTGTAGCAGTGAAATCCACTGTGTTGGGAGAGTTCAAAGGAAGCTCAAAGGATGAGCACAGAAGTGGAGGTTCCAAAATTAGCTCTGTATAGGTAAGATGTGACTTTTTTTTTTTTTTTTGGTGGTGATAGAGATAGAACTCAGGACTTAATACATGCGAGGTAACCATTGTACCACTGAGCTACATCCCCAGCCCAGGATGTGACTCAGTCTGACCTTTTAGTTGGGGTTAGTGAAGAAATTGCTCCAAGTGGAAGAAACAGTTTAAATGACTGTAAGGTACCACCATGGCATCTTATGAAATTGCAAGTGCTTGCTTTTGATTAGGCTTTAGGAGGTAAATTCTGGTTTTTTGTTTGTTTTGTGTCTGGTGTTTTTGGTGTGACTGGGGTTTGAACTCAGGGCTTTGTACTTGCAAAGCAGGCATTCTACCACTTGAGCCATGCCTCCAGTCCTAAGAGGCAAATTCTAATGTGGTGAAACAATTCAACATAAATGTCAAGTATTAAATCCTCATAATATTTACACAATAGATACGTTAATGAAACTTATAGCCCAGGCACAAGCAAACAAACATACTATCAGAGAGGTGTTAAATAAAAAATAGTACTGGGACAATCTGCTATTTGGAAAATAACAGATTCCTCCTCAATATTATTTTTAGTTAGGTCTTAGTGGCTAGAAGTTTAGAAATTAGAGGATTAGGATGCTTTCTGTGAATTAAAAATTAAGATGAACACCAAATGGTCAGATGATATGGATAACAAGCTACTGAAGAAGTAGTATATTACCTGCTATGTTACTTCATTGTATGTGTTCATCTGTGAACTGGGCACATTCGTGGTCTCACAAAAGTGCTGCATTTAGTTTAATTCTCTGCTGCTCTTGTCCTCTGGAAAGTCTAAATTGGTGAACTTGGACCCCTATTTTCTTTTTGCATTGGCCCTGCAAATTATCTAGCAGCCCTGCTTACTAGGTTGGTTATCCATGGAGACAGAAAGTTACAGGGCCTCACTTTACAAGTAGATGTCCTCATGGTTTCTGGAGAGTTGCATTCAATCTAATTAAAGTGTCCGAGCCTCATTCACAGGACCATCAGTATCGTGTGGGGTGTCTCATGCTGTCCAGCTTGATACCATTAGACATTTCCTACTCACCAAGCTAATTTTTGTGATTTGGGTTCTTCTGTGGTTTTCCTTTAGGAGGAGATCTGGGTGATCATGCTGACTCCGTGTTTCATTCAGGAACTTAGTTACTAAATTGGAATTCTGGTTGTCTGTATCAGTGAAGGTCGTTAATGTGGACTTGCTGTGAGAGATAGGTCTGCTTCTGCTGGCTTTCAGAGACATAAGGCTGAAGTCTAAGCATTGTGTTAGTAAATTCACCTAAGCAATCAGGTGTACAACAGTGGTTGAGAGCAAGGGTTTTGGAGTCAAGACAGTTAAACAATCCTAGGATCAAGTATAGGTCCTGCATTGATCTACCATTTGATCCAGCAATACCATTCTTGGGGATATACCCAAAATACTGTGACACAGGTTACTCCAGAGGCACCTGCACACCCATATTTATTGCGGCACTTTTCACAATAGCCAAGTTATGGAAACTGCCAAGATGCCCCACCACCGACGAATGGATTAAGAAAATGTGGTATCTATACACAATGGAATTTTATGCAGCCATGAAGAAAAACGAAATGTTATCATTCGCTGGTAAATGGATGGAATTGGAGAACATCATTCTGAGTGAGGTTAGCCTGGCCCAAAAGACCAAAAATCATATGTTCTCTCTCATATGTGGACATTAGATCAAGGGCAAACACAACAAGGGGATTGGACTTTGAGCACATGATAAAAGCTTTAGCACACAAGGGAGGGGTGAGGATAGGTAAGACACCTAAAAAATTAGTTAGCATTTGTTGCCCTTAACGCAGAGAAACTAAAGCAGATACCTTAAAAGCAACTGAGGCCAATAGGAAAAGGGGACCAGGAACTAGAGAAAAGGTTAGATCAAAAAGAATTAACCTAGAAGGTAACACCCACGCACAGGAAATCAATGTGAGTCAACTCCCTGTATAGCTATCCTTATCTCAACCAGCAAAAACCCTTGTTCCTTCCTATTATTGCTTATACTCTCTCTACAACAAAATTAGAAATAAGGGCAAAATAGTTTCTGCTGGGTATTGAGGGGTTGGGGGGAGAGGGAGGGGACGGAGTGGGTGGTAAGGGAGGGGGTGGGGGCAGGGGGGAGAAATGACCCAAGCCTTGTATGCACATATGAATAATAAAAAAAAAAAGTATAGGTCCTGTCACTAAGATGCACAACCTTGACCTCTATGTCCTAGTCTTTCATCTGTCAAATGATGGCATTCACTGTTACTGTAGGGTTGTGAGATTCAGTAAAATGGTGTACACTGGGCCAGGGTTACTTCTGACATTTGGGGTGCCAGATAATGCTTTGTTTGGGGCTGATGTGTATGGGGGTATTGCAGGCTGTTTGGTGGCATCCCCTACTCAAGCACAGTAGCTTTCCCCAGCCTCCTGCATCAGAATGTCTCCAGACATTACCAGATATCCTCTGGAGTGGGTAAAGTTGGATCTGATTAAGAACCATTGATCTAGGTGTATAAAGCAGGGCCTGGAGAAAGAAGGCTAATGCCAGGTTTTCTGGTAATGATGATAGGGGTTCTATTGATGATAATGTTCTTGATGCTATCCTGAAGCCCCTGGGAAGACATTTGTTAGCCTTTCACTTAGCCTTTGTTCTTTCAATTTCTACAGCCATGCCAGAATAAACTCCTATGGACTAAAAAAAATAAATGTAAAAAGACCAACCATTAAAAATCTCAGAGAAGTAACAAATCTTTGGATTTTCAGATGAGAAAAATGTTGTCCAAGCTCAAAAGCAGTATCACTACTGTGATATTTAATGATAGTTTTAAACCACATTGGAGTATTTCTTCTTTGATATATTTCACAACGTGAAGCATAAACAAACATGTATAATCTGTAAAGGCTTTGTAATAATCATTAAAAAGAAACTTGGATAAAACAATTATGAGCAATCTGGCATACAAAATAGTATTTAAAAACTAGTTTAAGTCAAAAAGGAAATCAGATATTCCCTATAGATAGGACAAAGGAGGAAATATTTATTGGTCCATAAACATATGGAGGTTGTTCAAATTTAATAATTAAAAAATTTGAATCCTTTTAAATTGGCACAGATTTTAAACAATACTACCCAATTCTTTTGTCCAGTTAGAGGAGCCTCTTTATACAGTCTTTCTAGGACAATGGATAGGTACAACCGTTCTGTAAATAAACATGGTGATAAATATGCCTTAAAATTTTATCATGTCTTTTAATCCTCCAAAATAACATTTGGGAATAATGCCTACAGCATAATCTGAAATGTTGACAAATGTTTATGTATGAAGATGTTTATACCCAAGTTGTTTTTAATAAAAGCCAGCTAATGTTCAGTGTTAGGGAAGTTAATTATAGTGTATGAAAACTAATTTGCTGTCCTTAAAAACAATATTATCTGTTTCTGATGACATGGGAAATTCTTATAGTGTTAAATGAAAAAAGGCAGGATTTAAAATTACATATGCAATATAAACTCAACTTAGAATAAAGACTGGAAAGGAATATTGCACAATCTTAATAACATTTATTCCTGAAAGATTCAATTATGGATAATTTATGAAAGCTACTCATACCTGATTAAGTTGGTCATTTCATGGCAGACTTAGACTTTTTTGTGTTCTTTTAGGCATTTTTTAGGTCTTATGTATTTCTTTGTCTTGGAAATGAAGATGAAAGGGTTTAAACTTTGTATAGAAGAAAGCAAAAAGCAGTTGTCAATGTCTTGAAATACAACTTTATAGTCTAAGAAATTCCTTATAGACAATGATATGAAGTCAGTTTTAGGGGTAAGCTGCTGGTTCTGGAATTGTTTTTTTTTTTTTTTTTTTAAATATCATGGAACTCTTTCTATTAATTAGTTTTCAGATATATTTTAGTATGTTTTTGATGAGTGAGTGTTTAAAATGTCCATTTTTATATTTATAGTATGCGCAGAAGCTTATAATCCTGATGAAGAAGAAGATGATGCAGAGTCCAGGGTATGTAATTTAATGAGTGAATTGATGCTCTTGTATGATAGAAGGAAAATAATAATAGTAAAGATGTTATTGTCATATAGATCCACAGGAGACATAGTGAAGTTGTGTTGTGTGTTTCTTTTTCTAGTTTTATCTCTGATACCCCACTTCTTCTTCAACTTCTGTAGAATTATTTTTATCTAAAAACACGTCTCTTTGGATAAAAGGAAACAAGAACATACTGCTCACTGTGGTTGTGACTTTATTTCTTTTGCAAGATACATCCTGGTGGTGAAAAATGTTTTCAGCTACCTTTCTTACAGTGAGGATGTTATTTTTTCTTAGAAAGTGTTTCTAGTAAAGAAAAATGCTGGGAAATACCTTCTGCTCCTGTTAATGGATGACAGCAGAAGCTTACTCTGAAATAAACAAGATGCAGTAAAATTACATCTCATGTGTCAGTATAACAGTTAAGATTTTTTAAAGTCTGTGTGTCTTGACAGTTTTCTCAGCAACTGATTTTTTTTGGAGGCTGATAAGTTTGTAAGAATTTGTCGAGTGCAGTTTGATAAATTTTTAAACCATGTCCTTTAGCTCGGTTGGGCTCTTATTTATTCAGTAAAAGCAAACTAAGTATGAGATTATTGTGCCTGAAGTGAAAAGGACACACTTTGCGAAAGGCCCCCTTGTCTCTTTGACCTTAAAAAGTATAAATGGAAACGTATTTCTTTAGCTCTGAAAAATACTTTGATTAGATTGTTTTAATACAGAAAAGCACATAATAGGTCCCTAAAATATATGTAGAATCCATTGGTAGAAAGATCGGGGGCTTGTGACTCAGAAGATCTCGAAGGTTCTTTTTATTCCTCTGCCTGTGGGATTCCCAGCCACACGGATCATTTCTCCACCAAAACTGAAACTACTTTGGTGAAACCCATGAATCCCAGCCTGGAAATTATGTTGCCTTAGGATCAAGACTTTTTTACTAATATATGACAGTAGTTACCACTCTGTGTAGTGTGAAAAATTTGACCTTGCTTCTCATGAGAATACTCCTTTTGCTTTAGTTTGTCTGTGAGGTAGAGTCTCACACTTTTGCCTAGGGCTGGCCTCAGACCTTGATCCTCCTGCGGCTGTCTTCTGAGTAGGTGGGATTACAGGTATGAACCACCATGCCTGGCTGAATGTTCTGGTTGAATCTTGTAAAAGTTAACTTTCAGCTGTTTGTGGAGAATAGATAAGACAATATGAACATCTTATACAGATTTCTCTTGAGTAACAAGATATGTGGTCTTTCCAAAGGGCATGTTTAAGTAAACCAAATTAATTGGTTTTCTCATTTTTTTCCTTGCAAGGCAGTAGAGGTTTAGAGCAGGAGTTGGCAAACATTTTAAGTAGAGATTTTTTTTTTTAACTGAAAATTCACTATTTTCAGAGAGGAATATTTTAGGTTTGGGGGTCATAAGGTCTCTTACAGCCACTCCAGCTCTGCTGCTGTTGCTTAAAATTGGCCATAGAAAATACATAAATGAAACAGTATGTCTGTATTCCATTAAAACTTTACCTGTGGGCACTTGAATTTGAATTTCATATAATTTTGAGAAACAGTATGTCTGTATTCCATTAAAACTTTACCTGTGGGCACTTGAATTTGAATTTCATATAATTTTCATCTGTCAAAAAATATTATCATTTGATTTTTTTTCCCAGTCATTAAAAAAGGTAAGTCTATTCTTAGCCCAAAGATTTGCCTGCAGGTGTGGTTTGCTGATCCCTGGTTTAGAGTATAGGCCTTGTGTACTGCTCACCTGGAATGAATCCTAGCCTTGCAGCTGTGAACCGTGTGATGCTGGAGAAGTTACTTGAACAAGTTCATCTTCTTGTGCAGCAATGAGATAATAGGCACCAGGATCTGATTTTTCTATGTTCATCTGTCATCTTGAAATCTAGTTCAAGATGAGTATTGGTCAGATAGTAAACAAAGGCTTATATGTACTTCATCCTTACAGAAAAAAAGTGCAACAACTCCTTCCTTCACTAGCTAATAGTCTTACCTGTTGCCTATAAATAATACACAAGAAATAGTCCTCAATTCTTTTCAGACTTATGATTTTCTTTAATTTTTAGCCATCTGATAGGCTGACAGAGGTGAGATACCTGCCCATAGGTCCCATAGTCACTCTTTGGATGAACATTGGAATACAGTGAGTTGTAGAGGCCTGCAGGAAACCAATTCCATGTCTGCTTTAGGACTGGCCCTTTCCTCTCTAACTCACTTATACTTGCACACTACCAATGTTCACACAAGAGTGGGCCTTTTTGAGCTGGAGATATGGTTTAATGGTGGGCCATTTGCCTACCTGGCATTACAGGGTACTGGGTTTGATCCCCAGCATCACAAAAAAGGGGAGAGGAGTTGGTTGGATGAGCCTTCTCATGGCCAAAGGGACTCGAGTTTTCAAGATAATCATACAGAGGACATTCTTCTGCCTTTATCGTCCTGGAATAAAGGTTTAGTGAGAATATAGAACACTATTTCTCTTGAGTTTATTCTAAAATGAATGTATCAGGCCAGGCGTGGTCGGGCATGTCTGTAATCTCAGCTCTTGGGAGGTAAAAATAGGAGAATTGCAAGTTGGAGGGAAAGGGAAGGGGAAGGGAAGGGAAGGTAAAGGGGAAGGGAGGGGGAGGAGAACAGAGAGGGGGAGAGAAGAGTGCATCCATACTTGGATTCATTTTTCCCATGAACATTTACTCTCTTGCAGGTTGTTGCACCATGGCTTGCTCCCTTCTGAATATCCCTTATACACTGTGGGGGCAATTACCTATAATTTGCATAAAAATTGATTAGATATTGAATGCAATGTTAATTAAAAAATTTACTTGCTTCTAGAGACTTTATCCAGTTTCAAAGGAAAGACCTACATCCTGAAAGAGAGTATAAAACTCAGTAGACACAGAGTGAAGGCAGTCTCTTAATTTTCTTTTAAAAAATGTTTTCCCTTTATTGTTGTACTGGGTGTGGGTACATTGTAGCATTTACAAAGGTTCTTACAATGTATTAAATATACCATTTTTTAATTTACCCCCTCCACTGCTCTCCCCCATCCCTCCCTTGATTCCTGGAACAGTTTCAGCAGATACCATTTTTGCATTTACATACATGTGTGTGTACATTGTTTGCACCATATTCATCCTCCTACCCCTCCCCTGGCACCTCCCCCCTCCACTGGTGCCAAGCCCCCCATCTGCCCTCCTGTTCTCCAGTTTCATTGAAGAAAAAAGATTAAAGATAAAAAGAAAAACATGATGTTTTTGCTGGTTTGAGATAATGATAGCTTGTGTTATTGCCATGCATATATGTATTACAACTCCAACTGGTTCATATCCTCTAGTTCTTCACTCCTCCCTAGTCCCCTTCTTATGGTGGCCCCAGCCAGCTTAAGATTTCTATTCATTCTTGTACAGTGAACACATCAACCACATTCACGTTTTTAGTTTCCTTCACTTACCCTTGTCCCTCCTGTGTGCTACATCCCCTTACTGTGACCCATGTCCCATAATATTGCTGCATTTGTTTTAGGTCTGTACAGCTGTTGGAAGGTGGTTTTCTCTTGTACTTGTCCCTGCTGGCTGGGAACTTTTGAATCCTTCTAGCCAATCATATACCTTTACATAATGAACTTGCTACATGGGGAAAACACTGTTTGTGAAAAACATTCCAGTGTTGTGAATGTATACTGTCTTCCAGCCAAGCTACATTACTTTCCCCTATGCAGTGGGCTCATACTAGACACCTGAAGTGAATCACAGTGCCCCCTTAAGTGAACTTGAGCACTAACAGTTTTTCTTTCTAGCATTCCTGGTGGTTTTTATTGGTACTGACTATTGTTTTTGTTTTCTCAATTTAATGTCCTTTTAGATTATACATCCAAAAACTGATGATCAAAGAAACAGATTGCAAGAGGCTTGCAAAGATATCTTGCTGTTTAAGAACCTGGATCCGGTAAGATAAATCTTAATAACAGAAATGGTTTTCTCCAGTGCCAGGGTCAAGGACTACATAGGGGCTTGAGTTTACCCTTCTTCCAAGCTAAGATCAGCAGAGATGCCATTGTGGATGCCTGCACGTCAGTATGTGGAGCTGCAGGACACAAGAACAGAGCCTGGGGTACAGAGCTTGGAGTAAGTAAGCCTGGACTGTTGGTCTGGGAGGAAGACATTGTCTCATCCCTCAAGGTTATTTGCTACAAACACAGCCCTAGTATGACCAGGTAGGAGAGGTTAGGACCTTGCATTCTTCATAACCCCACAGGCATATAAAGGGATGTTAGGGCTCACAGAGAAGGGCGAGACTCAACAGCCAGCAATCATAACTAGATTTGAATGTGTATAATGTCTATATTATACATACTTTTAAAGTAGTATTTTCCTTGACTTCTTTAAAGTGAGGGGATTCTAGTCTTTGTATTTCTAGGATACCCACTCAGTGATCATGCTATTCAGACTTCTGCTTCCTTCATCACTAATTGTATGTATTTTTGCTATATAGTCATTTAGGAAAGAACTCTTATTGCTTGTCCCAAATGTGAAAATGGACTCAACTTTCTTTTCTTTTCTTTTTCTTTCTTTCTTCTTTTTTTTGTTCAAATGACATCTTCTGATTTTCAGTTTGATGCCCTAAAGGAAAAAGTATTAAATCTAGCTCCATTATTTTTTTTTGAGGTCTTCTTAAGAAAGGAAATTTTTTGAGAGTATTTCATCATACCAATTCTTCTATATTAGGTCATTTTTACACCCTGAGATATTAAAAAACCTGTGTTGATTGATAATACCATTTGTCTTTATATCATATCCTCTAGGAATGTGAATTACATTTTGTGACTTTGGAGGCTTGGTTTCTAGGACCACACAGTACAAGTCTGTATGTCTGTCTCTGAGTCTGATTACTGTCTCTGACAGGCTTGAAGTAACCATGCCGAAGACCCTTTGGTCACTTCATCTGTCCATTTCTGGAGAGCAGGAAATATGGCTTTCCAATCTTTATCTCTCTCTTTAGGTAGCATATGCCTCTCAAGGCTTTCTACATGCATCAGAGTCTCAAAAAGAAAGCATGGTATAAAACAATGCTTTCATAGTTATGTATGCATATTTAATAATGAGAAATATTTTTGGATAGATTTGGTAATTGTGATAAAATGATGGTATTTAAATTCCACCTAACTAAATACAAAGCCCTAGTTGCGCTCTCATGGAGTGAATTCAGCTATTCAGAGTGGCCCTGACAGGTCCTTTTATTCACTCAGTCCATTTACCCACATCTACTGAGTTCCATCACTGAACCAGTAGTGTGGGTGAATGCTGAGGAAACAAAGGCCTGTTTCAATGCCCTGTGTTGGTATTGTAGCCAGCCTGTGGATCAGATGTTCTCGAAGGCAAGGGCAATTAGGTATTTAATTCTTTAGTTCCAAATGCACACATCAGACAGCTCTGAATTAATCCTTAGTTTTGTAATGTATAGGCAGGCTTCCATTAAGGGTACTCTATTTTTTGAGTAGGTCTTTTCGTGGGAGAATTTCAAAAGTCACTAAAAACAGTTCTTCTCAGTTTTAACATGACTATATATCATCAAGAGATGTTACTACAATGCAGACTGTGATTCAGTAGGTCTGAGTGGAACCGGAAAGTCTGAATTTCTCATGGCTCCCAGGTAGTGTTGATGCTCCTAGCCCACAACATAGTTTGAATATCAGCGATGAGAGCTAGGTGTGAAAATGTTCATGTTCAGTGTTTTGGTAATGCTGTATGTTATTTCATTTGCCTACTTGTTCATTGAGCTAGTATTTTCATGCTTCAGCAGTGACTAAGCAGTGATATTCTGTTTGTTTCTGTATACTAACAGATAAACGAGCATGAGTGAAACAGTTGCTAGTTAAACTTTTCTGGGATGCTGCCTATTCTATTCTATCTTCTAAGCTAAATTGATTTTCCTTGTCATTTCAACTTTAACTCTTTTTTTTGTGGTATTATTGGGGTTTGAACTCAGGGCCTTGCCCTTGCTAGGCAGGTGCTCTACTATTTGAACCGCACCCCCAAGGCCTCAACTTTAACTTATAAAGTGTTTTAAAATTACAGTTGCATTAAAAACTATTTTTAAAAGCATCTTTTTGCTAGTATAGTCTGGCAAGATGCATTTTACTTAATTAAAGTGATTATAAGCAGGATTTTTTTTTTTTTTTTAAGATTTCAAGGTTTTCAATGTGTACTGAAAGGCAGTTCATGGGGGAGAGGGAGAACCCAAACCATAAATGGTCACTATTTATTGTTTTTTAAAGAAGAGACAAACATGTTTTATAGTTGTTTCCAAAATGATCACTTTTGTTTTGAGATAGGCTCTTGCTGTGTATCTCAGACTAGCTTTAAATTCATGATCTTCCTTGTCTCAGCCTCCCACGTGCTGGGATCACAGTCAAGTATCACTACATCCGATAACTGTTCTTTGAATTTGAGCTCAAACCAGCTTGATATATTCCCTTATCTCAAATGCTTTTAGAAATGATGGAGGATACAAAACCCGAAACATTTATTTTATTCAGCCTGTAATAAGAAATTTAGCCTCAAACATGGCAGACCTAAGATGTTAGGTTAAGTTCATATTTTGAGCATTCTTTTATGTTTTTTTTAAATACACACTATTTATTGTAACTCAAATGCATTTTAATTGAATTACATATTCAACTCATACAATCTGATCATGGAACCTCTTCCCATTCAATTTCTTGACTACATACTATGCTGTAAGGCTTATGTAAAGTTTTGGGTGCCACAGAGATGTTTAGATTTGGTTCTTACACTCCTGAAACATATAATTTGATGAGGGACACAAAGCATATTGGTGATAGATACTGTCATTCGGTCAGGCACTATGAGAGGAAGAGTTATGTTTTAGGGTACTCTGTATTCTGAAAGCCAGAGAGGCCACTGAGTTTCACTTTAGGAAATCACCAGTTACTAAGAAGTGTACAAAGTTGGGTATCAGTAGTTCACAGCAGTAATCCTTAGCTACATGGGAGACTGAGATTGAGAGGATAGTGGCTCGAGGCCAGCCTGGACAAATAGACCATGAGAGCCCAACTCCAAAATAACCAGAACAAAAAATGAACTGGGAGGAGTTGCTCAAGCAATAGAGCACCTGCTTTGTAAGTGTAAAGTCTTAAGTTCAAACTCCAGTCTCACACACACACAAAAAGTATAGAGAATGTTACCACTAGAGCCTAAAGTGGACATCGTCCAGGGGGAACTAGGGTGGGAACTAAGATGTGCATGCTGTTTCATACTACGCTATGCCATACATAACATTCGACACGTGCTATAAGCAATTGGCATGGCTAAAGAGTTTTGAGCAGAGAATGTTAACAGCCATAAGTTACCTTTGGTAGAAGCATAAAGGGTAGAATTAAAGAGGAGAGAGCAATGGGAGACATGAGCCAGAACCAAGGAATGGGGCAGGTGAGGAAGTTATGCCATGATCTGGGGAAAAGAAATGGGCCTGAACCAGGGAAGGGAAAAGAGGGATGGACAGAAAGGAATGATGCCACAAAATACACAGAATCAACAGAATTTGGTACATAGTGGTTACTTTAATTGGAGCTTAAGGACAGTCTAGGATGACTGTCATTGTCTAGCTGGAATGACTGTGAAGGTTAGTACATTTCCAGAAATGGGAAAACTTAGAGAAAGAGGAAACAATAATTACTAATTAGCAAGAAGAATGATCTTGGCTTTGAATTTACTGTCTGATTTGAATTTCGTGAAGCAATTGTTCAGCTTGAAAATTTTGTACTTCCTAGACCTCAGAACATTTTTTCCTTGGAGTGCTGGATTTTCATATGTTGAACCACGGCATTTAATCTCTTTGAAGATATTTCTTTCATGAATATTTTAATGGTCAACTCAGTAGGCCACTTTTGTTCTGAACTATTTCTAATTTGAGGCTAACTGAAATAATTTTCCTATGCTATATGATAGACTCTTTCATTAATATAGAGTAAGTTATTATTTCTTAAGTGAGTCAAGGCCCTTTACTGAGCTCAGTCGTGAATTTGCATTCTGTAGGAGAATTAGATGTGGATTTCCTACAGTGGTTGTCACTTACCATGATAAACCTCTGCATATTAAATATTTCCTAAGTTCTTTTCACTCTGTGCATAATTATGGGGAAATTACATTTTGATTGACTAGAACAGACATCTGTCACATAGAGAAGTTGTAAAAGAAGTAATTTTTCTGTATTTTATCAGGATTTTTCACATGTACGTATATGATTTCTTTAGCTTTACAATTTAAAAGCTGTATATTATACATCTATTTAAAATGCAGCTAAATCTAACATGACCAAAAATTTTACTATAGCAATTTTTTGTCTATTTGACATTTAGAGTCAGAATCAATCATTAAAGCTGATATTCCCTCGGTACCTTCCCTAAAAGAATCAAAATGTACATAGCAAGCAAAATAAAATATTAGTAAACCATTTAACCAACCTGCAGAATTTTGATAGATGACCATATGTTGCCTTAGTTGATGAACTCTTTTGGGTAATTAACACCTAGTGGGCCAATTAACACCACATCCAGAAAGCTCTGTTTTACTGCCACACTGGCTTCATTCTCAGCCCTGGCTGCTGGCCCACACGCAGGTGCCAGAGCTCACACAGGAACACACGGAGGAGATGAAAACCACTTGCTGCAAACCTACCACCATCATTTTCCCAAGGTTTCTTAATCCACATTAAGATGCAAAATTATGTGCTGTGTTCAAATGGAGCTTGGCTTTTTAATATAATTAATAACTTTAATTAATGCACATGAAATTTACCAAAATTCAGAATGAATAAAAGATAGTAAACAGAAGTCACCTCTCCACCTCTGTCTTCCAGCAAGCCAGTTTCTTTGCCTAGTTCTTTATTTTTATTTTTAAAATATTTTTTTTGGCTGTATTGGAATT